GCCTCAAGACTGCCCAAGTGGGGCATGAGATGATGGCCCCAGGTCGGCCCCAGGAGGCTCCCATGACGGCCCAGAGAGGAGCCTAAGATGGCCCAAGAGGGCTCCAAGGCCTCCAAGAGAGGCCTCCAAGACGCTCCTGCCTCAGCAGCCCCCTCAAGACGGCAAGGCGGGCCGGCATATCCCCAATCCTCACCGCGCCAGAGGCGTTTTAGGAGTTTTGGGTCAGTTCCTATCAGGGGTCTCGTGATGAAGTCGAAGCCCACGAGTTGTACATCAGGAACAAGTGAACGAAAGTTAGAACCTGGAGGAACGTAAACATGGAGAGGAAGAGGAAAAACACATAGCCACAAGAGAACATCGGGACGAAATCGCTCGAACGTCCTAGGCCTGGTTCAAAGCCTCGCAATCCTCTGCCATCTTTGGCATGGCAACAAGCCCCATCCGGCAGACAGCCATTTGGAGCTCCGAACGCTGGGGGCACGCGCCGAACGCTGCCGCCCTTGTCCCCAGGCCTGGGGTGCGTCCAGACCAAGATTGCCAGGCGAGCCCAGCCGTGGCCACGAAGGCCTCCAGAAGAGGAGAGGGGGACAAGGAGGAGGACAAGGAAGAGTTGGAGGAGGAGGAGGAGGAGGAGGAGGAGGAGGAGGATACAGAATATCAGAGTAGATACTGGAAGCACGGATGATGCTGTCACACACGTTGTCCTGTACTCAGTTCCCTCCTGGTGAGTTCCCCAACGCAGTCCTTTTGTCTATTGGAAGCGCCTCCTGGAAAGGCGACCGCCCTGTGGGTCGGTAATGCAGGCGAGTGCCCTGTCTTGAAAAGCATCTGCCTGCCATCCTTCCCGTGTAAGAAAGGACGAGTCAGACAGTTCAAGAATGCCTGCTGCTGATCCTCCTCCGGCTCGCTGGCACTGCCCAGTCGCAGGATGCCTTTGCGCTGATCCCGCAAGGCACCCAGGGGTGGCCAGCTTCCAAAGCCTCAGCCGGCATCTGGACGCCCACCTGGCAGGGCAACTAGCTGGAGAGGTAACTTCGGAGTGGTTGCGGAGGCACGGCCGCACCAGGTGCCGAGTGTGTGGCTTGTGTGTGTGTGTGTGTGTGTGTGTGTGTGTGTGTGTGTGTGTGTGTGTGGGAGCCAGCCGCGGGGTGCACCCTTCCTGCCGGCCTACTGACTGAGCCGCCCTCCGACCAGCTGCAGCGCCAGATCTGGTTCAAGGGGCCCCAGCCACCCCGTGCCTGCCGAGAGGACAAAACCGCGCTGGCCGCCTTTACTTTCGACCGCCTGGCGCGATGGGACGCCGGGGAGAGCCTGACGCTCCGGCAGGAGGCTTGTGCTCAGAAAACGGGGCGGCGGCGCAGGCAGCAGGCGCCGACGACGGAGCAGCGCGCCGCCGGGGCGGCCGCGTGCGCTGCGGAGGGCTTCTGGGGCAAGGGCTGCGCCGCCCTGATATTTGCGGGCCTCGCCGAGACCTCGCGGGAAACAACCCGCGCGCTGGAGCAGCTGCACCCCCGCGCGGCCGCCCTCCCGCTGGGCCGCTTGGACGAGCTTTTGGCCTCACCCGAGCTCGCGCCGAACTCGAACTTGCGGGCGCTGCGGGCTTTCCCGACATGGGCGGCCCCTGGCCCCTCCGGCCTCCGAGCGCAGCACCTGCTTGACGCTTTGACCCCAGCCGCGCGAGCGACTGTCACGGAGCTGCTCGCCGCGGTTTGCCAGACCCTCGGCAACGGAGGGTGGCGCCGCACCTGGCAAGGGCGAACCTGGTGGCGCTGGAAAAAGACGACGGCGGACTGCGACCGATCGCGGTCGGCGGGGTCTTGCGCCGCTTGACAAGCAAGGTGCTGTGCGACCATGTGAAGGGCCGCGCACGCCAGGTGCTCTGGCCGCTGCAGACAGGCTGCTGCAGCCCCCTGGGGGCAGATGCAACGGTGCACGCCTTGCGCCAATTGTGTGAGAGGAACGCAGGTGCGGACGGCAAGGTGCTGCTCAAACTGGACTTCGCTAAAGCTTTCACCTCGCTGTGCCGGGACTCCGCGGTGCCCCGCTTCCCAGAGCTGGAGCGCAGGGCGCGCTGGCGGGAGTGCAGCAATGGGGCCCGCTCAGTGCGCTCGGTGCCGGAGGAGCTCGCGAACGCTGCAGACCTGGACCTATGCGCCTTCTACTTAGATAGCGGCTTCTTGGCATGCTCGACGAAAGCGGTGGCGCGCGCGCTGGCGACGCTGCAGCGCCGCTGCCCCGACCTGGGCCTCCAACTCCACGTCGGCGAGTGCGAGCTTGTGGTTCCTTGCGGGCGCGCGCCGAAGGGCCTGGCGGAGCTTTTTCCGGCGCCCCTCTTGGTGGACGCAGAGGCAGGGGCGAACCGCGTCGTCCTCCGAGGCGGCTTCAAGTTGCTGGGGGCCCCCTTAAGGGCGAAGGAAAATTGCGAGGCTTTCACCCAGCGCCGCGCCGAGAAGACCAAGCCCGCCTTGGCTGCGCTCGCCAACCTGCGCCCCCAGGTGGGCCTATTGCTCCTGCGCTGCTGCGCCAGCTGCGCCAAGCTCGTATAGAGCGCCCGGGCAGCGCCTTTTGTCCTCTTCTCGGACTTGCTGAGCTGCTTGGACGATGGCCAGCGGCGCGCGCTGTCGGACCTGCTCGCGGCGGGCCTGATGGACGCGCAGCGCAGTGGGGCCTGGCCGCCTGAGGACTCGCCCGCGCAGGACTAGGCCAGCGGCAGCTGACAGAACGTGCGCCCAGCTCTTGCTTGGCGAGCCTCGCGGCCACGCGGCACCTCTGCGGCGACTTGGACGCGGCCTACACTTGGGCGCCAGAGGACGCGGCCACGCTGGAGGGGCGGGCACTAGGGGCGCGCAAAGACTTGCTGCAGCCCACGCACGGCCTGGCTCCAGGTGCCCTCGACGGAGCCGCGCAGAAGCACCTCTTGATTGACGAGCGCGGGCGCTGAGTCTTCCTGGGTGGTTTGGATGCCGCAGACCGCGCTGATGTTGCCGGGCGCCTCGGACTTCGTCGAAGCGCAGCCCAGCGAGCAGTGGGGCTCCTCTTTGAACCCGAGGAGTTCGCGTGCGAGGTGAAGCGTAGGCTGCTCATGCTGGTGTGCGAGACTGAGCACGTCTGCCCCTGCTGCGAAGACGTCTGCGACCGCCGCGGCCGGCGCGCGGGCCTTTGCGCACGGGCCGGGGGCCGTGTCCACTGGCGCTACGGGGCGAGGAACGTAGTCGGCGCTTTCGCCGCCGGCGCGGGCTTCAATCCGACGCTCGAACAGCCGGGCCTCCTGCCACCCCACCCAGACGACGCCCGGGTGAATTGGCGCTGGCCAGCTTCTTTCTACATTCCTTCTTGGTTCAAGGGGGCGCCTGCTGCCTTTAACTTCGCGGTTTCTTCGCCGCCCGGGCAGGCCGTCCGTGCCTAGGCGGCTTTCCATGGACCGGGCACGCGGCGCAAGGGTGCGAGATGGTCAAGAGGAGCCACCTCGACACTGAGCGCATGTGCCAGCAGCAGGGGATCGTGGTCACTCCCCTCGTGGCGGAGCCGTCCGGCGGTTTGGGCCCGCCAGCGCCGACGCGCTGTGCCGGCTGACCCGCGCCAGCGACGGGGGAGGGGTGGGTGGGCTTGGTGCGGGCGCGGCCCTGCTGTTCCAGCGCCTGTCCGCGGCGATCCGCTGGGCTACCTCGCGGGCAGTCTTGAGGAGACGCGCGGAGCGCCCTCTGGCGGGGGGCGCTCTGGCTGCCGCGCAGGGCCTGCTCGCCGAGCTCAGGGGGGAGGACGTTTAGCGCGTCGTCCCCGCTTCCTTCTTTTCCTTCCTCCTCCCCTCCCCTCTCTCCTTGCCTCTGGCCAGTACGCGTGCGCCCAGCGGTGGGGCTGGGTGGCGCAGACCCCGCGGCCGCGCGCTGGTCTCCTCCGCCTCCCGGTCCCCTCCCGCTCCATCCTCCCCTCCTCGTCCTCGTCCTCGTTCCCCTGATGGGGAGGTGCTCGGGCTCTTTTCCTTTTTGGCGGGCCCGTGCCTGAATCGCTTAGCTGTGCCCTGGCACGCTGGGCGCCGCGCCTGTTAAACACGGCGGTCTGGCGGTTGCGAGCGTCGCGGCGCTGGCTGGCCGAGCCGCGCAGCAGCAAGCTGCCCCCGGCTGCCCTCCTCTTCCTCCTCCGCGTCCTCCCTCCTCCTCGGGATCTGCCTTCTGAGAGCTGTGATTTTTGTTGTCTCTTTTGGTTGTGCGGTGCCGCGCCCGAAGTGCCCAGGCGGAATGTCGCCCCCCGTCAGGGACCAGGCAAGGCCCCCGCGGCAGGGGCGATGCGATGTCAGGTGCTGAGTGCACGTGAGATCGAGTCTGATACTTCATCCTCGAAATGGCCGCAGCAGGGGGGCAACTCGATTGGATTACGAACGACTGCCTCAAGATCTGGAGGGCTTCGCATGCACAGCGAGAGTTCAGTTTTGATTAACTAGGACGCGTCCTCCATCCGTGTAGTCCGCCGTTGCGCACTTTCAAGGTTCTGGAAATTGAATATGGGGAAGTCTGCAGCGAGGGGCCCAAGACGGCACCAGACGGCCCCGCGACGCCCCTCCCCCCCAGTCCGCAGCCATCCTGGCTCGAGAGGGCGGCTGGCACAGGCGGATTATCCACCCGCCGCGTTCGCCGGCTTCCCAGACATCCGGCGGCCCGATTGGTTCGATACTCGGGCCCCCGACTTCCCGACCACTTCTCGAGTAGGGGATCGACTTCAGAATTGAGTTGCCCCGATATGGATGTTTTTGCCGAATTTTGAGACAGTCGTCTAGTGCGCCGGAGGTCTACGGAACATTTTACGTATGTTGTGTAAACCCAATGTGAAAAACAAGTTTGGGGCAAATCAATTCTGTTGTCGGTTTCCTTGTCGAACTTCCCCGGGACCAGGCTTCCATCCCCGGCCGTGTCTTGACGGCCCTGAGGCCCGATAGTCTCCCCGAAAGGCCGACAAAAACAAGGAACAATTTCCTTTTCGATTTTTTCGAAACGCTGAATGTCTAGGCTTCGTCCCGCCGGCGTCGCGCGACCGCACGGTGCCGCGCCCGCCCGCCGGGCGCGCCGCCGCCTTGGCGCCCAGCGCCCGCGGCAAGCGGCTGCCACCCTGCGCGCGTGCGGCGCGCGGCGCTTTGCGCCCGTCGCGTGGCGCGGGCCCCCCCTGGGCAGCGCTGCGGGGCAGCCGCCGCGCCTGCCGTGGCGAATGGTCCCGCTCGCTCTGGATGCCGCCCTCCGGCGCGGGCCCGCGCCGGCGTAGCTTCGCCCAGGAGCAGGCCGCGCCGCTGCAGGCGGACGGCGAGGCTGCGGTTGAGGCCTTGGCCTTGACGTCCTCGGCGTCCTCGACGTCGTCGCCCGCTTCGACGTTTTCGTCGGCCTCGACCTCGGTGACGTCCTCGTCGGCCTCGACGTCCTCGTCGGCCTCGTCGGCCTCGTCGTCGTCGTCGTCGTCGTCGTCGTCGTCGTCGTCGTCGTCGTCCTCGTTTTCGTCCTCGTCCTCGTCCTCGTCCTCGTCCTCGTCGTCGTAGTCCTCGTTTTCGTCCTCGTCCTCGTCCTCATCCTCGTCCTCGTTTTCGTCCTCGTCCTCGTCGTCCTCGTCGTCTTCGTTTTCGTCCTCGTCCTCGTCCTCGTCCTCGTAGTCCTCGTCCTCGTCCTCGTTTTCGTCCTCGTCGTCGTCCTCGTTTTCGTCGTTGTCCTCGTCCTCGTCCTCGTCGTCGTCCTCGTCCTCGACGTCCCTGTCCTCGTCCTCGATGTCCTCGTCCTCGCCGGCGTCGTCGGCGGCGGCGACGCCAGCGGACGGCCAGGCCGCGGCGGAGGCCTCGGCCGGGCAGCTGGCGGTTCGGCGCGCCCGCAAGCGGCGAGCGGCTGGCCTGCCGCTGGCCCCGGCCTCGGCCGACGGCCAGGGCGAGGAGCCCGCGCGTGCGCCTCGCCAGCGCAGCGCGGCCGCGGCCGGGGCGCCGCGGCGCCGGTCGCGGCAGCTGCGCCTGGAGGAGTGCAGCGCGGTCTTCGGAGAGGGACAGATCAGTATCGTTTAACCGATCCCCATTTCCATCCCCACCCCCTTCGAGACCCCCAGCAAATTCCCCCCCCAGTTGGGGATACACCCCTCGAAGCCCGAAGGGAGCGGCCTAGATCCCCATCTGGGGGGAGTAGATCGGCCAGTGGGGCCCAGGCCACGCCGCTGGGGATGGGGATCGGTGAAACGATACCCAGAGAGGGACAGAGAAGTGCAGCCGGTTGGGGGTCTGAGGCGGCTCAGCACCGTGTCCGGCGAGCAGGGAAGGGGGGGGCGAGGCACTCGATGTGCTGGATGCGACCCGTTTTTGTTGTTGTTTTTGTTTTTGTTTTTTGTTTTTGCTGTTGTTGTTGACGAAACCACTCACTGGCGCCGGCCCCAAGCCCCCCCCCCGGCGCAACGCAACGCAACGCAACGCAACGCACGTTACCCCGAATCCTGTAGGATTCCGATGGGAATCCTATAAGGTCTCCGCGAACCTTATAGGAATCCTATCGGAATCCCACAGGAATCCCATAGGGCCTCTACGAACCCCATGGGAATCCCATGGGAATCTTATAGTAATCTTATAGGGCCTTTACGAATCCTATGGGAATCCCATAGGAATCCTATGGGAGTCCTATAGAGCTTTTTTCGAATCCGATGGGAATCCTACAGGAAGCCTGTAGGAAACCTATAGGGTCTTTAGGATTCCTATGGGAGTCCCATAGAAATCCAATGGGAATCCTACAGGGCTTTTCGGCTTCCGATGGGAATCCCATAGGAATCCTTTGGAAATCCTGTAGGGCCTCTACGAATCATATACGGATCTTATTGGAATCCTTTGGGAATCCTATAGGGCCTCTGCGCAGCCTACAGGAATCCTATAGGAATGCCAGAGGAATCCTATAGGGCGTCTACTAATCCTATAAGGATCCGATCGGATTCCTATGGGAATCCTGGAGGGCCTCTACGGATCCTATAGGAAGCCACTTGGAATCCTATAGGGATCCTATAGGGCCTGATTCCTATGGGAACCCTATAGGAATCCCATGGGAATGCTATAGGGCCTTTGCGATTCCTGTGGGAATCCTACAGGAAACCGATGGGAATCTTATAGGGCTTCTCCGCTTCTTATAGGAATCCCAAAGGAATCCTATAGGGCCTCTACGAACCCTATAGGAATCCTTTGGGAACCCCATGCTAATTTTATAGGGCCTTTACGAATCCGATAGAAATCCTATAGCAAACTCATAGGAATCCTATCGGGCCTCTGCGAATCCTATAGGATTCCTATAGGAGTCTCATCGGATGCCTATAGGATTGTTACGAACCCTATAGGACTCCTACAGGAACGTACGTAATAGGAATCCCAGAGGGCCTTTACATATCCTATAGGACTCCCATCGGAATCCTATAAGGCCTTTACGAATCCAATGGGATTCCTATATGTTTTCTTGCGTATCCTATAGGGCCTCCACGAATCCTTTAGGAATCCGATAGGAATATTATAGGAATCTTAGAGTGCCTCTACGAATCCAATAGGAATCCTGTTGGAATCCTATGGGCATCCTATAGGGCCCTTGCGAATCTTATAGGAAGGGCCTTTACGAATCCTATAGGAATCCTGCGGGAAGCTTTTACGAATCCTATGGGAGTCAGATTTCGGAATCTTATAGGAATCCCATAGGCCTCTGGCCTCACTGGGAGCTCCTCCGAAGCTTGATTTCGGCACACCCCTCTCGAGGATCGTGGCCCTGGCCTCAGAGGGCTCCTCCGAAACTTCATTTCGGCACACCCTTCTCGAGGATTGTGGCCCTGGCCTCACCGAGGGTTTCTCCGAAGCTTCATGTCGACACACCCCATCAAGGATGATCGTGGCCCTGGCCCCACAGGGAGCTCCACCCACGCTTCATTTCTTCACACCCCTCTCGAGGATCGCGCGGCCCTGGCCGCACAGGGAACTCCACCGAAACTTCATTTCGGCACACCCACTTCGAGGATCGTCGCCCTGGTCCCACAGGGAGCTCCACCGAATTTTCATTTCGGCACACCCCTCTCGAGGACCGTGGCCCTGGCCCCACAGGGAGCTCCACCGAAACATCATTTCGGCACACCCCTCTTGAGGATCGTGGCACAGACCCCACAGGGAGGCCCACCGAATTTTCCTTTCGGAACACCCTTCTCGAGGATCGTGGCCCTGACCCCACACGGAGCCCCACGGAAGCATCATTTCGGCACACGTCTCTCGAGGATCGTGGCCCTGGCCCCACAGGAAGCTCTTTTCGTTCCCGTGCTGGTCCAGCTTCTAACTCGCCTCTGCCGTGCAGGAAGCACGGCGGCGGATTTGACTCCCGTGGCTCTGGTGGCCTTGCGGCTGACGTGGGCACGCTCCTCTCCCTCTCTTCATTTGTGGTTCAAGCCATTTGGGCATGCGCCTCCCCCCTCTGGGGCAGGCCACTGAGGGACGCCGGGCAACACGCCGGGACCCATGGGGATTCTACAGCATCCCTTAGGGATTCAATCGCATCCCTTAGGGATTCCATAGCATCCCTTCGGGATTCAATAGCAGCCCTTATGGATTTTAGAGCATCCCTCAGGGATTATATAGCATCCCTCAGGGCTTCTGTAGCATCCTTTAAGGATTCTATAGCATCCCGTTAAGGATTATACAGCATCCCCTTCGGGATTCTATAGCATCCCCTTAGGGTTTCTATAGCATCCCTTTAAGGATTCTATAGCATCCCTCAGGGATTCTATGGCATCCCTTAGGGATTCTGTAGCATCCCTTAGGGATTCAATAGCAGCCCTTAGGGATTCTATCGTATCCCTTTAAGGATTCTATAGCATCCCTCAGGGATTCAACAGCATCCCTTAAGAATTCTATAGCATCCCGTTAAGGATTATATAGCATCCCCTTCGGGATTCTATAGCATCCCCTTAGGGATTCTATAGCATCCTTTTAAAGTTTCTATCGCATCCCTCAGGGATTCTATGGCGCTGGGGACTTCCTTACAATTTATTCAGGAATTGCTCTCCCAGCTCTCTGGAGTCGCGCTCTCGCTGGAGCCTTGCTTGCAATTATCTGACGGATAGCGCCCTTGCGTCGGAATTTCCTGCAATTTACTCAAGCGCCACGCTCCCGACACCCAGGAACCCAGAGTCGCGCTCACGCTCAGGACTCCCTCACAGATTACCTAGGAATCGGGATCACGCTGCCCTTCGTGGCCCCGTTGCAGCCCTTCGTGGCCCCCTCGCTTTGTTTCGTGGCCCCGTTGCAGCCCTTCGTGGCCCCCTCGCTTTGTTTCGTGACCCCGTTGCAGCCCCTCGTGGCCTCCTCGCTGCCCTTCGTGGCCCCGTTGCAGGCCTTCGTGGCCCCCTCGCTTTGTTTCGTGGCCCCGTTACAGCCCTTCGTGGCCCCGTTGCAGCCCTTCGTGGCCCCGTTGCAGCCCTTCGTGGCCCCATTGCCTTCGTGGCCCCCTCGCAGCCCTTCGTGGCCCCGTTGCAGCCCTTCGTGGCCCCCTCGCTGCCCTTCGTGGCCCCATATATGTATGCCCTTCGTGGCCCCCGCTCGTTCGCGCCCGAGGTAGCCCCATATGCATGCCCTTCGTGGCCCCGCTGTCGCCCTTCGTGGCCCCCTCGCTGCCCTTCGTGGCCCCGTTGCTGCCCTCAGTGGCCCCGTCCGTACCCTCCGCGGCCCAACATACGTATGCCCTTCGTGGCCCCCGCTCGTTCACGCCCGTTGTGGCCCCATGTGCATGCCATTCGTGGCCCCGCTGTCGCCTTTTGTGGTCCCCTCACTGTCCTACGTGGCCCAGTTGCTACCCTCAGTGGCCCCATCGTTGCCTTCTGTGGCCCCACGTTATCTGCCCTTCGTGGCCCCCGCTCGTTCGCGCTCTTCGTGGCCCCATACGCATTCCCTTCGTGTCCCCGTTGTCGCCCTTCGTGGCCTACTTCGTGTTCTTCGTGGCCCTGCTGTCGTTCTCTCTCGCTCTCGCTTTCGCTCGTCCTCGTCGTCGTCGTCGTCGTCGTCGTCGCCGTCGTCGTCGTCGTCGACGTCGTCGTCGTCGTCGTCGTGGTCGGTACCCTGTCCGTCCCTCCGCGGCCGCCTCGCCGATCAGCGCTGCCGCTGGCCAGGCCGACGGTCCGCGGCTGCCCCGCCGCTTGCCGGGGCCCGACCTGCAGGGAAGAAAGGTATACCCCCCAAAAGGGGTTCGATCGAAGACGAAGAGGGCGGTTATCGAGGGTTTGGGGAAATTCGCGTTATTCGACACTCGAGCAGATAAGGGCGAACAGTTTTAAAATGATTGTTGTTGAACATTATTAATTCTAACGAATAATTATTGTTGGGACCCCTGGTGCACGGCCCCCCTGCGCCGCCTAGGCCGCAGCTACATTTTCATCATTTTCGTGAGGAAGCCTCAGGTAATACGATCAAGATCCGGTTGTTTTGTTGTAATCCGCTTTCCCTTGCAAAAAACAATAGAAAATGACATTTCTTGTTCTAATATAATCAAATTTCAAGAATCCCTTGCAAAAAATAAGGTAAAGTGGACATTCGCGCGCGCAAGACGAAATCCTTCCAAAACCTTAGTGTTCGCAGCGATTTTAACATAAAAACATCAAAAAACCAATGGTTTTTCAACAAAAAAATTGTCAAAATCTCATCCCGCGCGCTCTTGCGGATTCGTAGGAAACCCAACACTTTTTAAACATTTCTGTCAAACGGGCTTTTGCGAGCAACTTTTTCGAACTTCTGCGACAACGGTTGCGCACCTGCCAGGGCCATCATCCCTGTCAAATAATACCATGCGGGACACATTCGTTTTTTCTTCGCGCGCGCACGCCGAAATCTCCAAAAACCATTGGGCTTCTTAAGAATTTTAGCACCGCGCATCATAAAATCACACGAATCGCACCGTAGGTCCTCGAAAAACACCTGCACGACTTTTCAAAATTTCTACCCGCGCGCGCTGCCCTACGTATCATGTGTATCATGTGTATCATGTACATATGCATCATATGCACAGATGTTCTGTGGAAGGCTTAACAACTTCTGTGGGTTAACAAGGCTTAACAACTTCTGTGGGTGTACGAACGTAGGCTTAACAACTTCTGTGGGTGTGTACTCCACGCCAGTGTAGTAGCCACGGTCGTCCGCAGGCCACGAAGTGAAGTGTCCGAACGTCATAGGGCGGGAAGCTGGGTGTGGGTGGTGGCGAAGAGTCGTGTGGATATTTGGTAGAGCTTGCACTGCCCCCCCACAAAGTGGGGGTATTGGCTGGCGTCGCATGAAAACCCTGGCACTGGTGAGACACGAGCGTTCGGGTAAAGTGATGTTGTTGTGTTGTTGTTGTTGAACATTATTTATTCTAAAGAATAATTATTGTTGGGCCCCCTGGTGCGCGCCCCCCCTGCGCCGCCTAGGCCGCAGCTACATTTTCATCATTTTCGTGAGGAAGCCTCAGAAAAGAGGGTGTGTACAGATCCGGTTGTTTTGTTGTAATCCGCTTTCCCTTGCAAAAAACAATATAAAATGACATTTCTTGTTCTAATATAATCAAATTTCAAGAATCCCTTGCAAAAAATAAGGTAAAGTGGACATTCGCGCGCGCAAGACGAAATCCTTCCAAAACCTTAGTGTTCGCAGCGATTTTAACATAAAAACATCAAAAAACCAATGGTTTTTCAACAACAAATTGTCAAAATATCATCCCGCGCGCTCTTGCGGATTCGTAGGAAACCCAACACTTTTTAAACATTTCTGTCAAACGGGCTTTTGCGAGCAACTTTTTCGAACTTCTGCGACAACGGTTGCGCACCTGCCAGGGCCATCATCCCTGTCAAATAATACCATGCGGGACACATTCGTTTTTTCTTCGCGCGCGCACGCCGTCGTCGTCGGCCGCGGGGCCCTGAATAGTAGCCACGGTCGTCCGCATGCCACGAAGTGAAGTGTCCGAACGTCATAGGGCGGGAAGCTGGGTGTGGGTGGTGGCGAAGAGTCGTTTGGAAATTTGGTAGAGCTTGAACCGGCCCCCCCACAAAGTGGGGGTATTGCCCGCCTCCTATGAAAACCCTGGCACTGGTGAGAACGGAGTGTCCCCACGTGCTAGTAATTGTTGTTGTTGTTGTTGTTGTTGTTGTTGTTGTTGTTGTTGTTGTTGTTGTTGAACTCTCATTCTTAAAGGATAATTATTGTTGATCCCCCACCCACCGGTACACATCGATTTTTTCAATTGAAGTGCCCCCCGGGGCTCGCACTTTTTTTTTGTCAAGGAAAGTCTTCCTGCTCAAACTGGCCCCCTGGCCCCCGGGTTACAAGAACAACGGCTCCCGCCTGAGACTTCCTCACAATTTAGCCAGGACCCCCGCTCCCACCCGAGACTTCCTGGCATTTTATTCAAGAATCGCGCTCTCGCTTGGGACTTCCTTACGATTTATTCAGGAATCGATACCTGCGCTCTGGAATCGCGCTCTCGCTGGAGCCTTGCTTGCAATTTACTGAAGAATAGCGCCCTTGCGTCGGAATTTCTCGCAATTTACTCCAGCGCCGCGCTCCCGACACCCAGGCGCCCAGGAGTCGCGCTCACGCTTAGGACTCCTTCAAAAATTACCTGGGAATCGGGATCTCGCTGCCCTTCGTGGCCCCGTTGCAGCCCTTCGTGGCCCCCTCGCTTTGTTTCGTGGCCCCGTTGCAGCCCTTCGTGGCCCCCTCGCTTTGTTGCGTGGCCCCGTTGCAGCCCCTCGTGGCCTCCTCGTTGCCCTTCGTGGCCCCGTTGCAGACCTTCGTGGCCCCCTCGCTTTGTTTCGTGGCCCCGTTGCAGCCCTTCGTGGCCCCCTCGCTGCCATTCGTGGCCCCGTTGCAGCCCTTCGTGGCCCCGTCGCTTTGTTTCGTGGCCCCATATATGTATGCCCTTCGTGGCCCCCGCTCGTTCGCGCCCGTGGTGGCCCCATATGCATGCCCTTCGTGGCCCCGCTGTCGCCCTTCGTGGCCCCCTCGCTGCCCTTCGTGTCCCCGTTGCTGCCCTCAGTGGCCCCGTCCGTACCCTCCGCGGCCCAACATACGTATGCCCTTCGTGGCCCCCGCTCGTTCGCGCCCGTTGTGGCCCCATGTGCATGCCCTTCGTGGCCCCGCTGTCGCCGTTTGTGGCCCCCTCATTGTCCTACGTGGCCCAGGTGCTACCCTCAGTGGCCCCATCGTTGCCTTCTGTGGCCCGCATTATCTGCCCTTCGTGGCCCACGCTCGTTCGCGCTCTTCGTGGCCCCATACGCATTCCCTTCGTGTCCCCGCTGTCGCCCTTCGTGGCCTACTTCGTGTCCTTCGTGGCTCTGCTGTCGTTCTCTCTCGCTCTCGCTTTCGCTCGTCGTCGTCGTCGCCGTCGCCGTCGTTGCCGTCGTCGTCGACGTCGTCGTCGTCGTCGTCGTCGTCGTCGTCGTCGTGGTCGGTCCCCTGTCCGTCCCTCTTGGGGTCGGGTCGACGGTCCGCGGCCGCCCCGCCGATCAGCGCTGCCGCTGGCCAGGCCGACGGTCAACGGCTGCCCCGCCGCTTGCCGGGGCCCGGCCTGCAGGGAAGAAAGGTATACCTCCCAAAAGGGGTTCGATCGAAGACGAAAAGGGCGGGTATCGAGGGTTTGGGGAATTCGCGTTATTCGACACTCGAGCAAATAAGGGCGAACAGTCTAAAAATGATTGTTGTTGTTGTTGTTGTTGTTGTTGTTGTTGTTGTTGCCTTCTTCGACCTCAGGGGCGCCATGTTCGTACCCCGGGACCGTCCCAAGCGGACGTGGGGTGAAAGACTGCGCAGATGGACTACCAGGAGGGGTCCAGGGACTGATTTTGAACGGATTTGGCGTCACTCCCCCCTCTGATTTTCTAGGGCCCCAACCAGTTCAGACCCCCCCGGGCCGCCCCTGAACGAAGAAAACACGAGTGACGCAGAAAAGCGGGGTCGACTGCGCGGACACTCGCGCGTACGCTGCCCGCGTAAGGCCGCGCGTAAGCGCCCTCGCTTCTGATGTGGCGTGCCGCGCTGGCGGCCCGCGTAAGCCACCGCGTCACGTCGCTGTGCCATCTCGCGTATATCCCATTTCTTTTCATCGCTCACGTCATCGTTAGTTAAGCTTTCGGAGGCCCGCGCGGATTTCTTGGATCGGCGCTGGGCCCCCCTCCCTGGTGGCGTTTCGCACGCCAGGGAGGGGCGTCCAGCGCGGACCTCTTAAAGCCTATGTTTATCTTCGTTTTCGATTCTCTCATTTTTCGGGCGACGGGAAGTATCCATGCAGCAGGCACGTGCGCCGATCCCAGCCGGCCCCATCCTGGGCTCAGGAGCGGTGCGTATGCCTGCCTGGCCAGGTCCAGGGGGCGTGTGCACCGATCCAGGGCCCAGGACGGGCCTGGCCAGCATCGGTGCAGTCACGTGCATACTGTCAGGAGCTTTTGAACAGCGTGTCGCTCCGCCGGTTGCGGCCCACCACGCTTCGGCGCGACAGGCTATCCACGTCCCAGTCCCCAGGCGTCCACGCCCCGAGCCTTTCCCAGCCCTCCCGCCCCGCGGAGCGCAGCGACGCGCTATCCCCTCGCAGGACGCACCATGCCGCGCCGCCGCGACACGCTATCCCCTCGCAGGACGCACCATGCCGCGCCGCCGCGACACGCTATCCCCTCGCAGGACGCACCATGCCGCGCCGCCGCGACGCGCTGAGCAACAGTTCCCGACCGTAGGTGCACAGTTCTCCCAGGTGTTCAAATCGTTGGGGTTGAGCACGCTGCGTGTTGGATTGGCACGCGCTGGCCCACGCTTTGGCGAATGTATCGCGCCAGGCCTACGTTTTCAGACTACGTGCTGAGCTCCGTGGCAGCACGCACACTGCTCGCGGCGAGCGCAGCGAGCAGGATGCCCTGAGCGGCCCGCCTCTGCTCCCCCAGAGGAGGAGGAGGAGGAGCAGGATGAGGAGGAGGACGAGGAGGAGGAGGAGGAGGAGGAGGAGGAGGAGGAGGAGGAGGAGGAGGAGGAGGAGGAGGAGGAGGAGGAGAGGAGGCGGAGGAGGCGGAGGAGGAGGAGGAGGAGGAGGAGGAGGGAGGAGGAGGAGGAGGAGGAGGGGAGGCGGAGGAGGAGGAGGAGGCGGAGGAGGAGGAGGAGGCGGAGGAGGAGGAGGCGGAGGAGGAGGCGGAGGAGGAGGAGGCGGAGGAGGAGGTGGAGGAGGCGGAGGAGGAGGAGGAGGTGGAGGAGGAGGGGGAGGAGGAGGAGAAAGAGGAGGAGGAGGAGGCAGCTAAGATGTGCATATGTCTTCTCCTCCCACAGGTCTGCCGCTCCCGCCGCTCCTTTATGCACGCCACTGCGGCGGACGTCGCGCGGCTCGGGCGGCGGCTCGAGGCCGCGCGCCAGCGCGCCGGCGGCGCCCGGGAGGCGCTCGAGACGCTGCGGGTGCTGTCGGCCTGCACGTGCCACATGAGCTGCGGGCGGCTGCTGGAGGCTCTGTTCAGTATCGTTTGACCGATCCCCATCCCCACCCCCATCCCCATCCCCATCACAAGTCCCACCATCTCAGCACTCCAGTTGGGGATATACCCCTCGAAGCCCGAAAGGAGCAGCCTATATCCCCATCTAGGGGGGGTAAACCGGCCAGTGGGGCCAAGCCCGCGCTGGTGGGGATGGGGATCGGTGAAACGATACTCAGCTGTGTGGTCCTTCCTGGGAGCCTCAGAGGGCTCCCAAGATTCCTTGCGGTCTTGGGGTCTGGACGAAATCTGGGCGGAAGGGTGAAGAGAGGTGGTCGAAATCTGTACGAAATCCGGTCGACATCACGTGTATGATAGGGCCGCGGATGTCCACAGAGGTTCCCATGAAGGCGCACCCAGGCGCTGCAGCGCACCGGCGTGGGCAAGCCCTGCGCGCGGCTGTCGGAGAGCACCAATTGCCAGATCCGGGCGCTGCAATTTTCGTTTTTTGTTCACACCGGGCGTTTTCGAACAGTTTCGGGCCCCGGGACCCTCATAGATCGATTCGGCTTGCAAAATGGGCGGTTGTCCTGATTTTCCACGGTGTTGCAGTTTTTTCGTGTTGTCGGATCTCAGGGTCGACACCTACACCCTACCGCGGTCCTGGCCAGGCCGATCTTGATCCCAGGATCGGTGCATCTGCCTTCGCCGCCAAGCCAGGAGGGCGCAGACGCCGAACCTGGGCCCAGGGTGGGCCTGGCCAGGATCGGTGCAGGTGCATATTGTCAGGAACTCTGGCTCTGCGTTTAAGTCGGGCCTGTCCCTCTACAGGGGGAATCTACAAAAGTAGTCAAAAAATAGTCAGGGGACGAATTGTCGACTAGTTTTGCCCATTCGGGGGGTATTTTTGGAGTACTTTTTGTCGCCCAAAATCCCCCTGTAGGGGGACACGCCCGACTTTACTCTGCGTGTCGCGCCGCTGCTTCTGGCCCACCGCCCTTCGGTGCGACGCGCTGTCCACCGCTGGGTCCCCAAGGCAACGCCGCGGGAGCCTCCCCGAGCCTTCCGCCCCGCCGAGCGGAGCGGCACGCTGTCCGCCCGCACGGCGCAGCGCGTCGCTGGAGCCGCCGTGGCGGCACGCCGAGCGAGGGTGCCCGACCGCAGTTGCACTCCTCCTCCTCCCTCCTCCGCCTCCTCCTCCTCTCCTCCTCCTCCTCCTCCTCCCCCTCCTCCTCCTCCTCCTCCTCCTCCGCCTCCTCCTCCTCCTCCTCCTCCTCCTCCTCCTCCTCCTCCTCCTCCTCCTCCTCCTGCACCCTCCCAGGCTGTGCAAGCACCCGAACGAGGAGGTGGCGGGCTTCGCCGCGCGGCTGGTGGAGAACTGGCGGGGGCGCGCGGCGCGCGCCAGGGAGCAGGAGCTCGCGCGCGGCGGCCCCGAGCGCGCGAGAGGGGGCGGCGCAGCCGGCGACGGCGCGCCAGCGGTCCCCGCCGTCTTGATAGCCTCGTCGCCCTCCGCCGCTGGCTCCTCGCCCTCCTCGTCGTCCTCGGCGTCGTCGTCGTCATCGACGAGCCACTCGCCCCCGCCAGCTCGCGGCGGCGCCGCGCCGCCTGTCCCGAAGGGCTGCAGCGAGGGACGGGGGGCCGCCGCTGCTGGCGGTGGCCCCTCCGCGGCCTGCGCGGGCGCGGGCGCAAGCGCGGGGGGCCCGATGACCCGGGGGCGCCTCAGGAGGCTCCGTGTATTCCGAGGGACAAACAGCAACATAAACATGAACTTTCTGAGGTCCGCGCGGATTTCTCGGATTGGCGCTGGAGCCCTCTGGCGACGCCTCCGGCGCCGCCCCTGGCGCGCTCCGCGCGCCAGGGCGGGGGGTCCAGCGCCGATCCGAGAAATCCGCGCGGACCTCCGAAAGTTCATGTTTATGTTGCTGTTTGTTCCCCGAGTATTGCCCGACTCGCCCCCGCCAGCGAAACAAATAATCTCCCCTCCTCCGTTTCCTGCGGACATGCACGACGCAAAAAAACGGGGTCGTCTGCGCCGACATTGGCGCGTAAGCTGCCCGCGTAAGCGCCCTCGTCTTCAAAGTAGCACACCCCGCTGGCGGCTCGCGTAAGCCACCGCGCAAGGTCGCCATGTCATCTCGCGTAAGGCCCCTTTTTGATTGTCGCTCACATGCTGGAGAGGCCTTCTGGCCAGTTCCGACGACCCCGAAGGGGATCGGGGGGCCCTGGGAAGGCTGCGAGGGAGCCGAGGAGCGCACGAGGACAGACCGACGATCATCCCATCAGAACGGCTTGAAGAGCACCCAGAGACTGGATCGGAAACATACCTTCTAGCTAGGAGGAGGGTGAGGAGGAGGAGGAGGAGGAGGAGGAGGAGGAGGAGGAGGAGGAGGAGGAGGAGGAGGAGGAGGAGGAGGAGGAGGAGGAGGGAGGAGGAGGAGGAGGCGGAGGCGGAGGAGGAGGAGGAGGAGAAGGACCTGCGGCCCATCCTGCCACCGTTCCTGGGTGGTGGACCAGAGGCTTCCTGAATGCGTACAAGGGGTCTGTTGGGGTGCCTCTCGGAGGCCTCTTGGGGGCCTAATGGCGGTCTCGGGGGTCATCTTGGGGCAGAGTGCTCGAGATGTCAGTTCGTGTTTCACTTCGTTCGCCTCTCTTGGGGCTCTCTTGGGCCGTCTTGGGGGCCTTTTGGGCCCTCTTGGGCCGTCTTTGGGGCTTTTTCATGCCCCTCGGGCCTTCTTTGGGTGATCTTGGGAGCCTCTTGGGTCGTCTTGGAGCGCTGGAAATCCGAAAAGGCAAGAACTGAAAAAGCATGCAAAAACCGATGGGGAGTAGTTTCTTTTTGGCTCTGGGGACTCGTGGGGTTCTCTCGAGGCCGGCTTGGCCCGTCTTGGAGGCCTCTTGGGGTGTCTTGTGGTCATCTTGGGCGTCTTGGACTTAAGCTGCCGAAAGAGGGCCAAACTGGCCCGAGGATTACCAAAAGTGGGAACGGGGGGATCGCATTCTGACCCGGGACCCTCCTGGGACCCGCCCTGGGACTTCTCCAGGGACCCCCTGGGTGGGGAAGGGATCAAAGGGAAGGGGTTTCTTTCGACTCGATTACGACCTGGCTCGCTTCATTTCGGGTTGGCGAGCTTGGAGAGCCGAATGCAGCCGCCAGGAAGGGAAGAAATTTTCGGCTCAACGAGCGTCTCCCAGGACCACCCCTGGACGACCAGCCCAGAACTCCCCCACTCATACTCGCCAACAGCGTCGGCAGATTTTCGCGCACCGAGTCCAGCCGTCGGACTTTCACCTTGCCAGCATCCCCGCTACATCCTCTCCTCCTCGTCCTCCACCGCCTCCTCCTCCTGAGGCACTGGGGCCCTCAGGCACTGACGGCATGAAGGTTCTCTAACGTTGCACTCCTCCTCCTCCTCCTCCTCCTCCTCCTCCTCCTCCTCCTCCTCCTCCTCCTCCTCCTACCATACTATCCGTGCTCGCCCATCCGCCCGTCTTGTAGAGGTAGGGAAGGCCAGGCTCCAGCAGGTGGCCCGCCAGCAGGGCAAGCTGGCGTGCCTCTTTGGCATGGCGCCCCAGGACCAGCGGACTGCCCCCGCCCCCCCCTCTGTCTGCTGCTGTGCTGCCATCCGCTGCCCCTGCTGCTGGTGTCTCTGCTGTCCCCGCCCCCGCTCCCCCCCCTGGGATAGTGCGCTCCTCTTCCTCCTCCTCCTCCTCCTTTCTCCTCTCCTCCTCCTCCCTCCTCCTCCCCCTCCTCCTCCCCTTCCTCCTTCTCTCCTCCTTCTCTTTCTCTTTCTCTTTCTCCTCCTCCTCCTCCTCCTCTTCCTCCTCCTGCTCCTCCTCCCCCTCCGCGTCCTCCTGCTGCAGCATCG